TGAGTTTCGATATCTCAGCTCCGGAAGGGTCTAGAGCCTCCATTTTTGCACTTCGGTTTAAGTCTCATGGCCCTCTATCAGAATCCAGAGTTTCAAGAAGATCAGAGAAACTCAAAATTTTGACCCAAAAAAAAAAAAAAAAAAACGACAGTGGTACCCCTTTCGGTTTTTTTTTTTTGTTGTTTTTTTTGGTGCAAAAAAATACGTTTCTCCAATCTTCTTGCATACAATATCAAAATCCTCTCAAATTTGTAAATGGGGATTTTTGGAAAGGGTCAAATGCAGATAGAAACTTCTAATTCTAAAAAAAAAACACTTTTCGCTTAGAATTATAAGCTTCTATCTGCCAAAACATTTGAACAAAAAAAAATAATGTTGTAACAATGTCTCAACATGTGTTAGAAAGTAATATTTTATCCTTTATATGACATTTATTTTGTATTTTTTAGCACTTCCATGTATTTAGGACATTTCAAATTAAGCAAGGTATGTCTAAATATTTTCCCCTGTGCATAATCTTCATTTTTGCTACCAATTTGGTGGGTAATTAAACACATTATTGCAGAAATTATACTTTAATCTTTCTTTTGCTTAGACAGAAAGCAGCCACTGTAATACATCCGAGCAGGACTTTATTCCAGCTAAAGTGGGCCAGGTAAAATGGCTTTCTCTCTAGACCTCAATATGGCTGAAATAAAATGCAAACATTTATTGTTGTATTTAAGATCCTATTAATTAAATTGTTAAATATTTGACCTACAAGCCATAATATGGTAAACATTAAGACATTTTAAGACTTTAAAAACTGCAAGAAAATCTACATGCTTCAGCAAATTAATTAATAAAGTTGAATAATCTTTGAAAAATTATTCACTGACTATATAATTGTCACAGTCTTTGTCTGCACCATTCTGTCTTCGTCATCTTCACTACACTTCCCAGCATCCTCTTGTCTACACACCTGAACTCACTCCCTCAAACATCCACCTGTTCATCGTCCTGATCATCTGTGTCACCTTGTTAGTGTTCATTTGTATCTGTATTTAGTTCTCTCTGTTTCAGTCTGTGATTGTCGGTTCTTGATTATGTTTCATGGATAGTGTGTGTAATCTTCTGCCAGTCTTCCTTGTACCTGTTTGGAGTTTTTGAGTAAATATTTTGTATTGGAGCTTTACGTCAGCCTCAGCCTGTCTTCATTCCACACTACACCGTGACAGAAGAACCGACCAAACATGGATTTCCCTGCAGTAAGTCTAATGTGCCATGAGCAGGGAAACAGCTCTCTTGAGGAACACCTGGAGGTTTTCCTGGATTTGGTAAATCAAACCAGTTTCCCAGATGACTGCCTCTGCACGTTTCTACGTGTGGGACTGAACAACACCACTCTAGCGCATTTGTCTGGGGAACCACCTCAAGGAAGCTTTGCACAATTTGTGGAGTGGGTGCTGGTATCTTCCACAATGAAGATGGTGCAGATGAAGACTGACAGAACGCCCCCCTTCAAAAAGGCGCGACCTCACACCGTAGAACATCAATGGGGTGGGGGGGTGGGCGCCCTGGAGGCTGACGAGGGCATGGCTGAATTAGAGCAGGAAGCCTCCAGGGCGGAGCAGGCTGAGGGCGTGACCAGAGCGGAGCAGGACTCGGCTGGGCGGTCTCGGCGGGACGAGGCTCTGGCGGGGCGGTCTCGGCGGGACGAGGCTCTGGCGGGGCGAGGCTCTGGCGGGGCGAGGCTCTCGCTGGGATGTCTTAGCGGGACGAGACTTGGGCTGGGCGGTCTCGGGATGGATGATCTCTGGCGTTGGAGTGGGGCTGGAGACGTCATCGACAGTGAAGGATGATCCGCAGGATACCAGCACCAACTCCACAAATTGTGCAAAGCTTCCTTGAGGTGGTTCCCCAGACAAATGCGCTAGAGTGGTGTTGTTCAGTCCCACACATAGAAACGTGCAGAGGCAGTCATCTGGGAAACTGGTTTGAGGTACCAAATCCAGGAAAACCTCCAGGTGTTCCTCAAGAGAGCTGTTTCCCTGCTCATGGCACATTAGACTTACTGCAGGGAAATCCATGTTTGATCGGTTCTTCTGTCACGGTGTAGTGTGGAATGAAGACAGGCTGAGGCTGACGTAAAGCTCCAATACAAAATATTTACTCAAAAACTCCAAACAGGTACAAGGAAGACTGGCAGAAGATTACACACACTATCCATGAAACATAATCAAGAACCGACAATCACAGACTGAAACAGAGAGAACTAAATACAGATACAAATGAACACTAACAAGGTGACGACAGGTGACACAGATGATCAGGACGATGAACAGGTGGATGTTTGAGGGAGTGAGTTCAGGTGTGGAGACAAGAGGATGCTGGGAATTGTAGTGAAGATGATGAAGACAGAATGGTGCAGACAAAGACTGTGACAATTATATAGTCAGTGAATAATTTTTCAAGGATTATTAAACTTAATGAATTAATTAACTTAATTAATTAATGAATTAATCTGAAGCATGTCAATTTTCTTGCAGTTTTTAAAGTCTTAAAATGTCTTAATGTTTACCATATTAAGGCTTATAGGTCAAATATTTAACAATTTAATTAATGGGGTCTTAATTACAACACTAAACGTTTGCATGTTATTTCAGCCATATTGACGTCTAGAGAGAAAGCCATTTTACCTGGCCCACTTTAGCTGGAATAAAGTCCTGCTCAGACTTAAGCTATTCGCATAAGCTATGCAAGAGACAATCATGCCTTTAAAAAAAAAAAAAGAATGTTATCTTTTATTAATCTTTATTAAAATACTGCTGTACACACAAATATTGCAAAAATGTGACAATAAACAAGAAGGGCATAAAACGTACTGGGATGGTGAAGGAGGATTTCATGTGTGAATGTGTATGTGTATGGAGTGTGTGTGTGTGTGTGTGTGTGTGTGTGTGTGTGTGTGTGTGTGTGTGTGTGTGTGTGTGTGTGTGGGTGTGTGCGTGTGTGAGAGAGAATCAGAGGAGGACATAGGCTTGGCACCACGTTCACCAAGTAGTCTACTGATCAGTTAAAAAAAAATACATTATTGAACTCACAGCATCCTTTGCTTGCTGTATCCTGCACCCTCTCAGTCCAGTGTGGCACACCCAAATCTGTGCTGCAAGTCCCACCTGTTCCTTGACTCACGGATTGGGCAGTCACCAATGACAGGTCAGACACATTCAGTCATTGGCATATTCCTGTCAGGGATCATCCTGAGCGAATTCCAAACTGTTGTCCGGATGTTGTCACATAATTTGAAGGTCAAATAATAGCTAAACAAAAACAAAACCAAGAGAAACCAATACAATCCCAACCGTCCTGCTGAGATTGGTCCACAGAGACCAAGTGAGGTGAGAAACATCCCATCATGCATCTCTGTACAACAACTTTTTGAGGAATGGGAATGACAGTAACAACACAATATGATATTCACTATATCCAAACCAATACTGAAGGAAAGTGGGAAAATGAGAACGAATGAGGGAAAAGAATGACGAAAAGGACAGAAACTTGTAATGCTCCACAACAGAGACGTACAAAAGGGACATTCCACAAAGAGACAGAACCGGTTTCCCTTGCTAGCGTGGTCCAGTTCTTTGGTTCCTATCATGAAAAAAAAAAAAAATACAAAAAATTCATCCTCAAAATCTGATTTCAAAAAGCATCCACAACATGAAAGGATGTTGCAAAAATCTGAAATAAACAATTTTACACAGCAAGAGGCGAGAGCACCCCTTTGTCAGCGCCAGCAAACACCGTGAATCCCCCTCGACGGCACACAACCAGTAACCTCCCCTCCCGCCTCCAATTTGGCCGACTTTTAAAGGAGTCATTACATCAGAGAAGGAGTGGTGGCACGTTACTAATGCCACACATTCATAAGTGGTCAGTCTCATCAATTTGCCCAACCCAGTGGTTTGTCCTATCAGAGTTGAGGACCCTGCACACATGACCAGTGGTCTGTCCCAATTTGTAGTACCTCATTAAAATAAAAAAAAAGGGCAAGGATATGATGTGGGAAAACAGCGCTCTGTTTTACACCCATTTCATGTGTGAGGCCTCGGCCCTCAATGCACCCTGTGGGACACGCACGCACAATCAGTTAAAAAGGAACTTAAAATGTTTAGTGCATCCTCCGAAGGAAAAAAAAAAAGAGAAAAAAAATGAAAATAAAAGCAGGAAGTAAAGACTCAATTTTTTTTTGACATTGTTCCCAAGTCTAAAAAAAAATCATCATCATTATTATTACAGCTCTCAGTTCAGTTCATAATTCTGCAGCTGTTGTTGTGAAAACTAAAAAAAATAAGCTTTAGAAAACAACTTTCTGTGGACAGAACAGTGTATCTGACTGGAGGTGAGCAACCAGCTGGCTCTGCCCTGGTTGTGAGATCATCATTCTGCACCTATGATTCCAGGCTGTAGTGCAATGTGCTCGGTTTCAGGCAGTTCCTGCCCACTCGTGTGGGGATGGATGGGTGTTACAGGGGTCCGTTAGTGGCGGCCTGCAGTTCCTGGAAGGTGCTCTCAAAGCAGCGCTTCAGGTCTGAGTAAGTCACCACAAGCACGCTCTTCTCATCCCGTGACACCAGGCTGATCTTCTCCGGTACTCCAGCATCCAACTGACAGAAGAAATAAAGGTAGTTTGAGAGTAGTGAATAGTGAAGTGAAGGTTCCCGTAAAATGCCACAATTATAGGTCAAAGACAAATAAGAGGGTCCAAGGTGAAGAATAAGAAAAATTTCAAATGTGACAAGAAATTTACTGACTGTATTTATGTTGCTATTTCAAGAAAAGTTTTTTTTTTATTGAGATTAAATAGCTCTAAAAATGTCATGCGGTCTAACCGTCAAATTATAAAATCAACATGCAGGGGGGGTCATGAGATCATTATTACATATACACACACACACACACACACACATATATATATATATATATAAACGACGAAAACATGTTACTTGTTCAATTAATAAACAGTTTGTTTGATGACAAATCGCTAAAGATGGAATTGGCCTCCCTTTCTGTCATTGCGTTTTTTTGTTTAGTTTTTTTAACGATATATATATAAAATGATCTCATGACCACCCCCTGTTGATTCTACCACAGAAAAATTGACCAACTACCTAAAGGGATAATTCACCCCAAAAAAAACATTTTCATGTTCCAAACCTGTACGAGTTTCTTTCTTCTGTTGAACAGAAAATAAAATATTTGAAAGAATATGGGAAACTAAACAATTGAGTGGCCCCACTGACTTCAATAGTTGGAAAAAATACTATGGAAGTCAATGGCTACCGTCAACTGTCTGGTTACTCATATTCTTTCAAATATCTTTTGTGTAGATATTTGTGTAACAGAAGAAAGAAACTCAGGGTGAGTCAATGATGACCGGTTTGTTATTTTTTTTGGGTGAACTACCCCCTACAAGTATATTATATAGTACCCTATTATATAGGATTTTTTTTTTTCTTTTAATGACGCTTTTTTATTTATTGATATCCATATATTTGTATCTCCTTGACATTTTTTACTTGCCACCTGCCCCCTCCAAAACAACAATAAACAAAACAGTTCAGCAGGTATATTAAAGTAATATATACACATTGCATTTTCAGGGCTCCAGACTAACTTTTTTTACTAGGAGCGCTGTTGCCCCCGACTGAAAATTTTAGGAGCGCAAGCAAAAAATTTAGGGGCACACCTTAAATAAGCTTGCAATGCAATTATTCAAATTTCCCACAAAATAACTGTAATACTGACAAATTCTTTATTAATAAATAGACTTAACATTATGATATGCTGTTTTATTTTAACTTCACAGGGCTCCAGACCCAAAGTTGAGGGCAACATCACCTCAAATGAGAACTCACAGTTCTATATAAAAAAAAAAAATCTGGTAGCACTGAGGCTAACAATAAATCACTAAGCTTAATTTAGGGTGTAGATGAAATTAACTTTAGTTTTTATCATTTATAATGTCTTAATATTAATTAATAAAAGTAGTGAAAATATGTATATGGAGTGAAAATAGCCAATAAACATCCTACTGTTTACAATGGTATTATTATTATTATTTTAAGTGTTTAAATAAGAGTTTTCCAACATCTTAAAATTTTTCGTTTAAGGACAATCTTTAAAGGATGAACAAAAAATGTGTTGGTATGGTAATCACATAAAAAATACAAAAAAATAAAACATTTATATATGATATTATTGAAGTGCTGGGAAAGGATGTGTAGTAGGCTACTTACACATTATCATATTTATGGTAAGAGTTACCTTGCCTAAATTCATGATTCTGTTAGGCTGATTTGTGGTCTGAAAGCCTTCTGTGTTTTTCCTGGTTTCCACGTCAGCGCTGTTTGATTTGATATGGTTTATAACAGAGCTCTGCGCCGAATCGGAGTGTTTCTCACTGGATCTCGTGGTGTTGATGTTATTAATTCTGAGGCGAATTCACTGGATTTCTTCACTGGCTCTCCTAGTAACAGTGTTGCGTGAGCGAGATCGGCCCGCCGCGACTGGCAAGTTCGGGGCTTTATTTTGTCAATGGTTCGGATCGCTGCTGCAGCTCCACGGTCCTAATCATACATGAGTGGCGTATTTTCATTCCACTTTCATTTTGTTTGCATTCGTTGCTAGGTTACGACTAAAGAGTCGATAGATCGCTGATTGCTCAGACGCACATCAGTTTGTGATATTTGTTTCCGTCTCTTTCCCACAAACGCGCGCTATTCTTGTCACGGATTCATTGATGCGCCTCTTCCACGCTTTGCCATGCGTTTAACGTGTGGCAAATTTACTGGTCGCACATGTGCGACTGGATGTAAAATTCAGTCGCACACTCTCAATTTTTGGTCGCAAAATGCGACTATTTGGTCGCAGTCTGGAGCCCTGATTTTTAAATGTAACTTTTTAATAAATTGATATATAGTCATTGACCCAGCATATAACATGAGCTCCAATACACAAGCTCACCTTATTGAGACAGGACACGATGTGGCTGAGGTCGATCCAGGGCGTGCCTGTCTCTGTTACCTGGTGGAACAGGTGATCTCTGAAGAGCTTCAGCAGGTAACGGTCACCAGTCTCAGACCATGTTGGGTCCTTCTGGAACCTACAAAAAATAAAATTCAATGTTAAAGTAAACCATTTTGGAAGCATTTTGTAAAAGGTCACCATTTCAGAAAGGTTAATAAAAAAAACCTTACTCTGGTCTCTCGTTGATCGTTCCCAGTTTTGCCAGAAGGCGGAACAATCGCCCATTTTGAACCTCCTGCAAAATAAAAATTCAACATATTTGAATAGCAAAAAAATAAGTTATATTGGGATTGTGCAAGTGAGACTTCACAGAATATGAGAAGGGAAGTTAGAGAGGAAACCAGGTCATATTTAAACCTCTTTCAGCATCACATTTGCTCACACAAAAAAACTTTTTGAAAAAGACCATTCTCATGAAGAAAATTAGTTAAAGGGATAGTTCACCCAAAAATGAAAATTCTGTCAGTAATTACTCACCCTAATGTTGTTCAACCCCTAAAACTTTTGTTCATCTTCGGAACACAAATTAAGATATTTTTGATTAAATCTGAGAGCTGGATCACTCCTCCAGCTGGATCACTAGTCTTTATAAGGGATCGAAACGGGATCGGTTATTAAAGACATCGTTAAAATAGTCCAAGTGACTACAGTAGCTCAGTCTTAAGTTTATCAAGCAAATTTTCATTTTGGGGTGAACTAACCCTTTAACAGTGCAAGTTTGTAGCAGGGTGGTCGGAAATGTCTTCACACATCTGATACAAATAAATTAGAGGAAAGCAGAAGAAAGAATGGCTAAAACTGTCCAAAATATTTTCTGCAATCACACCACCTCCTATCTCTGGTTTGACATCGGCACATACTAAACAAACTAGATCTGAAAGGGTGTCTCTTTTCATTTCCTGCACTGCCTAGTTGCGTGCGACGAGATCAAAAAGTGAGAGAAATACAGAAATACAAAGTTTGACAAATACAGCATGACTAGTGTAGTCCAAATTAAATAAAATTACAGGGTATTTCACCATTGAAAAATTGGGCTTTCAATAAAACTTGGCTGCCTATGCAGTAGAAATGCCAAAAAACATTCTGAAACTGGTGCTACCGCGACCCGACATGTATGAGTACCTTTGCCAAGTCCTCCTCAATGACATCGTTCCTCATTTGCGAGGCATCAAGTTGAGTGTAAAATCGTGCTCCAATCATGGGCATAATGTCATTGACGCTGCGCAGACGGCTCTGTTCTGACAGCAGGTACCTAAATATTGAAACATGACAAAAAATGGTGCTTAGTTGGTGATTGTTTGAATCACATTCAAACTAATGGTGATTAGTTTGAATGTGGGGCCACAAGTGTGAATGTATGACTACATGCACATTAATCAAGTCTTATTAGAACCACAAACTGCCATGCGTCACAATATAACCACTTTGAGAGAATTTAGGCAAAAAAGTGTGTGTGTGAGAAAGAGAGAGGCCCACAGAATGAGGTTCTTGAGGTCAGATGAGTAGTTGATTGACACCAGCTCCATGGCCTTCTGCAGATTCTCTCTCTGAATGCCAGCTAGAGAGTTACAAGCCAAGGCCAACACCACCTTCCCCAGGGAAATAAGATCTGCTTGCTGATGGACACAAAGAGGAACAGCAACTGATGAAACTAAGAGTTTAGACCCAAAGTGTAAAAACGACAAGCACAGAACAAACTATTTTTTTTTACTCCACAACAATGACAATTCAGCTTTGCCAACACAGGAATAAATTAGATTCTAAAACATATATAAAATATATTAAAAAGAAAAGTTATTTTAAATTATGATCATATTGCACAACAATATTACCATATTTTTAGAGACGTCTTTCAACAATAACAACAAAAAAAATCTTAATGACCCAAAATAGTTTATGTAACAAAACATGATTAAATACAGATACGCAGTCAATAAATGTATGTGATGGGCATAACACTATGTTTGGGTGTAAAGAGATGTACAGTACCTGGTACTGGGGCATCAGCGCCAGGTGGTTGGTCTGACTATTGTCAAATGTTAAGACATCAAACATTCCTACACAGTTGACTCGTAACCTACGGAGAATCAACAGACATTTAGCAACGTTTGTGTTTGCATCTTTTTATGTGTGCAATCTCTGTACAGAGAAGCAGATTAACAGGTAGTGTAATAAAGGAACAGCAAAAACAATCTAAAAGTGAACTTCTCATATATAGATAGAAAATAGTGGCCCCACAGAACACTGACCGAACTGTGGTTTGACTGTCCTTAATTTCAGAAGTCTTATCGAGAAGAGTATTTTGTTTCTTCAAAATCCGTAGTTCGGATTTTGGCTGGCCCCACTAAAAAAATGCTAAAATATTCCAGGGCCAAGTTTATGGCCAAGCCCCTCAGTGTCTGTTACAATGGACAGAAGTTTGCTACATTTAGATTGGATCTTGGTGGACTAACACAAACAAACTGTCCAAAGCCATCAGATAAAGATGCTAAGACAACAGCCAGACATCTCTTAGAGGGCAAGACGACATCTAGTACCAAGCCTGGGAAGGACAAGACTTCTCATTGGTCCACATACAGTGTCTACCCTTCGGCCATTTAGATGTTGGCCTATGACAACCATAAACATTCTTAAGGACCTCCGGATGCAGCAGCAGTGAGTGAAACCACAATGATCCATCCAAATCCATTCATACTTATTCAGAGAAATAAGTATTCTCAGTGCCAGCTGTTCGTAAAGCAATATCTTACACAATTCCAGCTGTTAGTGTACAAATGAATGAATGCATGACATTTTAATCTTCGCCAATCTTGTTTGAACTATATTTGTTTAGAATATTGCCAAAGGTATTCTAGTTGTGGATTGGAAAGTGAGAAATGCATTGGTAAAACTTTAAGACTTCTAACTGTGTGCTTTCGGCAAATGAGTTCAATAGGGGAAAGAAGGGTGGGCCACACTGTGTGTTCCCCCTGTGATGTCAGCAGCCAATCGTAGCACTGGAATGGAGAAGCACCAAATTACAATCTCCTCCTCCTCATCGTAAAGGGATCAAGGTACCCATTCAACAGACTCTCCTTGTTCCAAGTCATGAGACATAACAGATATACCGTTCTGAGTCCCAGCCTGCAAAGCAAAGACATTACATATATACCGTTCTGGGTCTCAGTCCTTTAAGGGGAGACAGTAACAGATATGACCATGTTCTGAAACTCCAGTCTGGGAGGAAAGAAACATTAACAAACACCAAGTTCAGAGTTTTATTCCAGCGAGACAGTAACGACTAAAGCACGTCCCGAGTCTTAATGCTTGAGAGACAAAAGCGGATGACCATGTTCTGAGTGTCTGGCAAACAGAGACATTTGCAACAATGTTAAGCTCAGTGGGTCAAACCTTCACTTCAAGGTACCTTCGTCTGCGTGTTCCAGATTTAAGGACCCTTTGGTGCTGCAGGAGATCAGCATCTCACAGATCTTCATGTTCTAGGTTGTTGAAACAGATTGCGACTCCTTTCCCCACTGCATTGTCACCCACAACCAGTGGAAGAAGCAATCGGACTGCTCACTCGATCAAGTGAAATGTACATATAATTTTGCAAAACCTCGTTCCAGAGACCATGTTGTATATTATGAGTAGAAGTACTAGAGTTGTCAAAGTACCGATTTCGGTACCAGGGTTATGGTCGGTAGTAAAATTTTAAAAAATGTGACACTTTGAGCGCTGTTGAGCGAAATCATATCCTTTTAAGCGAAAACACCTCTGATTGCGTATTGTACTCACATGCTCATCAGATTTGTCTGTGATTGGCTACAATGATCATGATAGGGGTGGTGATGGCACAGTGGATAGGACACATGCCTTTGGTGTGAGAGACCCGGGTTTGACTCCACTGTGAGACACCAATGTGTCCCTGAGCAAGACACTTAACCCCTAGTTGCTCTAGAGGCGTGCGACCTCTGACATATATAGCAATTGTAAGTCGCTTTGGATAAAAGAGTCAGCTAAATGAATAAATGTCAGCTGGAAGTGTTTTTTCAAGTTATTTTTGTTTATCTTTTTGTCTTTACACTTGTGTCTTCCTTGTGATGATAATACAAAAGAGGATCTACAAGTTCTCACCAATCTTGCAGATAAACTCGCTCCACTTTACAATAATTCTAAATGATTGAACAGCCTCCTGTTGGGAGTGTTCTACTACCAAGGTAAGACCTTGACTGATGCCCCAAACTAAGAGAGGGCAAATGTGGTCTTAACTGACGTGTGATCCAAAAATCACAACATCAATGGTGACGTGAGTACCAATCACTACATTACTTAGCGCCCTTGGATAGGAGAAAGTAAAATCACTACAATATATTAACATAATAAATTCTTTAAACATTTGCTAAACAACTCCCAAACATTGCTGATTTTAAATAATTTCAAACACAATCAACTGATACCCAGTTACATGAATATAGTTCTGGTTTAATTAAGAAATATGTACCGTGTCTTTCCAGTGATCAGGATCTTACTAGGGTCCATGACCCTGCAGGCCAGCCCAGCTGTGTGAATGGTGCGCAGTGCCGAGCTCAGCTGGACGATATAGGCCCAAATCAGAGACTCCGGTAACAGGCCTGCATGTTGCCGTGGAGGAGGGAGCTCATGCTGCCCTAATCAAAAAAAATAATAATAATTTAAATAAATAAAAAAATATATAAAAACTATTGGGGATAACACATTACAAGCAATGCAAAATTAGGTGACTTTTTTCAAGAAATAAGAAATGCATTAATTTTAAATTTACAACAAAATATTATAATTTAAAACAAAATATCGAAAAAGTTACTTTTTCAAATAAGTAACTTCGTTTTTCCATTTATTGACTGACACCTCTCCTGTTTCCATGTTCCAAGAAAATGCAGAGGCGTTGTGTGCGCGCTGTGTAAACATGATGCTTATTGTCGTTCTAGACTAAATGTGACCATGCATTTACTCATCTCACTTCAAATCAGATTTAGTGTTCCTAAAAAGGGTTAAAAACAGTGAAACAAACTCAGAATATTTTGAAAAGCTCTAAAAATTATGTTAAATAATACAAATATACTTTACGCATTTAATCTCACTTTATTAACATTAGAACGGCCACAACGGTCATTTTGACCGTTTTGAATTTTATATCTACAATAACTTTGTTGAAAAAAATAATAAAATCCTGCTGGTTCCTGACTTTCCTAAAATTGTCTGTATTTTCAATTAAAATGCTTTTCATATAAATTAAGTTACGTAAACGTAAGGCAAAAAAAAAAATGAACATATTTACCTATTTCGGCCATAGACGGTCATATTGACCGCACTGAATTTTGCGGTATTTTTTCGTTAAATATCCCGCGGTTGATCGTGTTCTCTCTCAACTGTCAACAGAAAGGTCCGCCCGGTCACCTCTGTAGCAGTGTTTGCTATATAATAATTTCTACATTAGTTGTTGATCAAAAATAAGCAAATAAAACCGGACTACAGTTATCTATAATACTTACGTTATCTATAGGCTATTTAGCCTATATATATATATATATATATATATATATTGCAAGGCTAAAATGTCTAAAATGAATGAGCGAATGAGGAGGAACATGACTCGAACCATGGCCCTGGAGATGCTTCAGAACTTGACGAGTGATGATTCGGATGCGGTGAACAATCGGAGGTGGAAAGTGACAGCGACGTTTCCTGGGTGCAAGTTAACATTTCCTCCTCGTCAGAGAGTGATTCAGAGTCAGAGTCCACATCAAGGAAAAAGAGACGGCTGCTATGATCAGACACGGCGGATCCAGATGTTCCATTCATGTCGGATCATCCTGGTGAGCTCCGCTGCCCTGTCCTGCGCTGTTTGTTTTGCTGCATGGGCTGTTCACTAGTTCTGCTAGTCCTATTATTATTATTAGCCTATTGACCGCTTCGCAAATCGTCACTATCTAACATTTTCGTCATAGTTTTTGTCATTGAAACCTAGTTTTTATTTAGTTATCGTCTCGTTTTCATCTTTGAAAAAATGTGGTTGACATCGAAAATTCATCGAAAATTATTCATCAACACTGTTTTTAATCTAACGGTCAAAATGACCGTTTGTGGCCGTTCTAGTAGTTTTGGAATTCTGGCACTTCTAGTGTTAATGTCTTACGTCTTAGGATATATTATGTCTTTGCAGCTGTTTTTCGATCATCTAAATCAACCATACATTCAACTGAGCAACAATTACTTAAATATAGATAAACATCACATATGCATTTAATTAAAAAAAATTTTTATTGCTGAAGTAAGAGTGCTAAACTTCTCCATCCTATTCTTCTGCAATCCAGAATGGCAGCACAATTGTAAAATTAGTTTGAGCTGAGCCCTCCACAGTACAGGTGTGGGAAAACAAGCCCAGCCAAGGTGAGAAAAAGTATTGCAAAAGTATTTACGCATTAAAGTCTATATGAAGTAACGCAATTAGTAACTTTTTAGCGATTAACGCAATATTGTATTATTTTTAAACGTAACTTTCCCCAACACTGATTATAAATGCATACTTAAATTGACATGCGAACAACCAACACATTAAATGAATGTCTAAACTCTGTGATAGTATGGTAGCTTAAACATGGGCAATAAAAAAATGTTTTCAGCACCAAGGTTTCAGATAAATGTTTTATATCAATATATACACAAATATGTGTATATTTTAGATGTTGTGACTGGTTTAACACACCCTGATAAGCACGCGTTTTATGGTTTGAGGCTGCACTGTAGCTAATGCAGCCGTATGTGCTGCAGCTGTTTATAGTTAAACGTCATACCTGGGTTTTGCTTCCTCTGCCAGTCTTCAGCTTGCAAGTACTGAACATACCTGAGAAAGGAACGGTTTCAACCACTCCTTCCTCTTTTACTCGCTACATGTTCACAAAGACGCAACTGCCACCAGACATTTAACATGCTCTGCAAATAACGGCTGTATCCTCACACACACAAACAGAAACAACTGAGCAAAACTAGAAAAGGAAAAAAAACTCACCCCACTTTCTTTTTGTAAAGTAAGAATCCGCTGCCGGATCATTGAAGTGCCTGCTGAACATGGTCTCCGCCCCCGCATGGAAGTCATAGGAGAACACTAGTGCTGTGGAGGGCAGACATGATTGATATATAAAAAGTCTCTAAAAGAATCAATCAATGACAATTTTGTTTCAAGCACAGATGGTTTCATATCATTTTAAAAAATCTTTTATAATTTTTCCCAAGTATAATAATTATTATTAAAGGGTTAGTTCACCCAAAAATGAAAATTAAGTCATTAATTACTCACCCCCATGCTGTACCAACCCCGTAAGACTACCGTGGCTCAACTATATGTTTATCAAGCGACGCGAATACTTTTTGTGCGAAAAAACAAACAAAAATAACGAGTTTATTCGACTATTTCTTTTCTTTCTTGTAGGCCAGAACGAGACTTCCTTATAGATTTCCACGACGCATGCGCGAGAATTGCTATCTAAGCTGGTGTAAGCAGATCGCAAATCTCGCGCATGCGTCGTGGAAATCTAAGGAATTCTCGTTCTGGCCTACAAGGAAGAAAAGAAATAGTCGAATAAACTTGTTATTTTTGTTTGTTTTTTCGCACAAAAAGTATTCGCGTCGCTTGATAAACATATAGTTGAGCCACGGTAGTCACTTGGGATATTTAAACATTTTCTTCATTGACTTTCTGGGCCGTCAAGAGGCAGTCCCTTAGGAGCCAATGTGGTAGTTATACAGCTCTCAAATTTAATCAAAAATATCTTCAGTTGTGTTCCGAAGACGAACGAAGGTCTTACGGGGTTGGTACAGCATGGGGGTGAGTAATTAATGACTTAATTTTCATTTTTGGGTGAACTAACCATTTAACAAACAATTAATTTGCATGAATAAATATGTGTGTTCAATAAATGTAAGAATTGTGTCAAACTACCAATGATTTATTTTTCTTTTTTATGAAACATCAGAATAGATGTGAATTATAATTCATCAAATAAAAACACCTCACAGCAGAGGTGCAATCAAGACAACGTATGGGTGAATGGCATTTTTAAAGCATTTTTTAAATAAAAAAATGATCATAACTTCACTGACATTAAGTGGAGAAACCAAAAGCTGTTCTGCACAATAGTTTTGATTTGCACATGCCCAGTCATATAAAAAGCAAACTTGTTCATACAGTGGTCTCCAAACGCTTTGGTGGTGAAGACCTCTCGGAGGGTCACAGTATTGGAGTGCTGAATCTTCTTCCACATGTCTACCAGCATCATACACTTGGTGTTTACCAGTCTGAAGCCTGTGAATGCATAAAAGTAATTTCCAAAGTCACACGAGAGTACTTAGTAAAACTTACATATCGGAGTTTAGGTTCTCCGATATATTAAGTCTTGATACTTTCACGAGCATGAGTCTTTAAAACATTTTCATTTTAATTACGTTTAATTGGTTAACAATGTACTATCAATGTATTATCAGTGTACAGAACAGTGAAATTAGGGCAATGCCTCACCATGTATCCTCCTGAGGCAGTAAGGCAGGTCATCTTTGCTGTTGACTGCCTTGTAACAGGAAGTGATGTAACTGAAATTGCTGGTTTTCTGAAGACGGTTGGGTGGGGGAAGGGGTTCCAGGGGAAAGAGGCTGTGGTAACTGTCTACCTCAGATGGCACTCCTAAAGGAGAGATGGAACAGGTGACTTCAACATACAACACACCTGTACACACTTACTGCAAAAAAACAAACAAACAAGGATTTTATGTGGATATGGATGACAGGTGGATAACCATGTAGATACTTTTCAAAACTAACAAAATAAAGACAGACAGACAACGGATGTGGTTTTCTTCTCAGATGGCAGGTGAATCCAGATGGGCGGACCACAAAACAGACATTATAACTGAACAGTTTCTATGTTGTCCATTAAAACAAAAACGATGTTAACAGATCATGTCAACACAAGACAAACCACATCCTTACCAGTGTTCTCAGACTGATCTATTTGTGCCATCGTTATCAAATGCCTGTTAATCAGCTCCTTCAAAAAAAAGACAAATATAGAACAAGTGAAAAAACAAATCAACAACTTCTAGACAACACTGGCTAACACATGAAGGCAGAAACAGCGGATTACCTGTCGGAGTTCATCAGCCATAAAGAAGGATGGCGCGTTGGCTTTTGGTTGCATGTATGCCACATGAGGTGCCGTTTGTGGATACATGTGATACGTGGGGAATACCTGAAAATGAAAAGAAATAAATAAATCAGTCAATTCAGGTGCACAGCAATAAAAATACAATAATAGTGCACAGCAAACTCCCAATATACGTGGACCATACCATTCCAGCCAAGGGAGCAGGGGTGTTATCGGTATAGAAATAGGTTGTCCCGCCTACAGTCTCCTTTTGAATTACGTGGGCTCCACCTCCCGGGTCAGACGCAGTAGTGGGCACCATGTAATTGGCTGGGTTGGGGTTGGGTGTATGGCTGCGCCGCCGCGGGGCTGGGGAGGTGTGAGGGGTGATTTTGGGGGAGTGGAGAGGCGATGACCCAGCAGAGAGGGACATGCCTGTCCAAGAAACCACACATTAAAGCCTGATTAAAAACAGATTCAAACAAGGAGACCGCAACCTAACCTAAAAGATCATATACATTAAAAGACTGAATAGAAATACAAACCGTAAGATAAGACGTGTTTATCAAGACAAAAACAGAAAGAAAAAAAAAAAAGACAAAACACCAGGTGGTACTTTTTGGTAGAGTCACTGACCAGGTGCAAGAGCAGCCGCCGTGGAGCTGCTCAGGCCAGGATGAGGGAAGATGGGGGAAGCGAATGCTGGCACGGTTGTCTGAGATATGGAGGCCATTCGTGGGGCCCCTTTAGGGACGAATTCACTAGCTGTGGGGTTAGGACCCTGCAAAAGAACCACAGATATAAACAGAACTGTAATGGTTTCACTCCAACAACATCAAGAAAGTTTTTCCCAAGTTAGGGATGTGCGATGCAAAACATTTTTCAAAAATAAACTTCTATCTTTAGGAACGCCTGTATAATTATGCTGGTTTCTGATTCATTACTAATCAGTTTTTCAGCTAAAATAAATAAATAAATTAAAATAACATTAGCATCTTTTACACATTAATAATACACATATATATATATATATATTTATTAATACTAATTGGGTCTTTATACTTAAACATTGCATTAAAAAACAACCAATGGATACCATAGATAGTTAATGCTGAGGAATTTGAATACACAACTTTTTTTTCCTGTGCAAACTGAGTGTATAATTATCCAAGTACTTCTACTGTCTATTTTTTTAAAGTTACTAATCGACAAGTCAGTTGTTGCATGACTAGTCTGACCCAAAATATAAGTAGCATGGAAAAAAATTATTTTCTTATGCCTTCTCAAAAGATGTTAAAAATACAGATGATTGTTGCATCAACAAAATACCGCGTCACAACATTAACAGCATAATTGACATATTAAACACTCACTTTTCTCCTTTGTGATATGCTCAAAGAACCAAAATCACTGAAGAGAGATGATGTTGGGGAATTTACTGGATCTAAAAAATGGAGTGGATGGATAAAAAACAGATTTTTAAATCTTAGCACAACAGCTTAATTGCCAAAAAAAAATATCAAACAACTTTTATCACACCATGTGTGCTGGGGCTGAAGCTCTTGGCATCGTTCAGCAGACTTGGAGAGCTGCTACTGCTGGTCATCCTCTGAAAACACAAGCAACCATCAAAATGTGAAATGTCCTATTAAGAATCTCCACTGTGTGCTCAACTTGACAGACCCAGTGGCTAGTATCATATATTAATTTCCTATCACCACACAGTCACTAGTGGTTTAAGTTACCTGCATCATAGAATATTTGGACTCTGCTGGGCCTCCAAACCCATTAACTCCAATAAAAGTGCTGCTGAAGTATGAGTTGGTCAGACTGGCATCATTCAGAGGACCACCCTCCATTCCAGGGACTGCAATAAAAGAAAACATGTATGGGATCCCTTTGTGTTTACAACATCTTACTCAAAGTCCTATGTAATCCTTTTACAAACTAAATAAATCATTTAAAATATTGGTTGGTTCTGTATATATTTTAAGTGTTAAAGCTGCAGTCCGGCGTTTTTCCTCTTTGTCGCCATCTCTGTTCGAAATCTGCAATTGCAGTCATTTGCGGAATTATCAACTTTACGCGAGTTGTACTTCAACACCCTCGACACGGCACAGCGCCAATGAACACACTGAGGAGAGTGTGAGACTGTCAGTCACCGCGCCGGTGTCCATACTGGCATTCAGAATCACAGATTATTCTTTTTGGAAGTATGACCAACATAATAATTTTCACAGAAAAAAAGTCACTGGTGATTGTCGTTTGAACCTTTCTGGATCCGCCATCAAATTGATAAGCCGAGACTACTTCTTTATGTGTACAGATATGATGCAATGACGCAAAGACATGCTCGAAACTACCAGAGAGATCCACCAGAACCACTGGAATTAAAAACATTATTTCAAGCTTACCGTTTTGATTTGAGCCAAGGCAAGCAAATAGTTTTGAACACTGGCTGGTTATTTACATTTGTACTTTCTCAAATATGTATTTTAGATCATTTTTAACCAAAAAAAGCAACAGACTACATCTTTAAAACGATTACTGTGCTCTCCTAAAAGAGCAAAAACAAGCTTTAAGAAGCGGCTGGAAATAACTTCTTAATTTATTGTTAAAATGTACTCAAAAATGTAGACACAAGCAAATCAAAAAGTGCCATCAAAAGACTGGCAAACAAAATGCTTGCTATAACAAGATATTTCAATCTTGCATGTGGACAATGGCAGGTTCATTCCTATGGCAAGCCATTTAACATTTATCCCTTAAAACTAGGGCTGCCCCCTAATATTTGACAAGAAGAGGATTTTGAAGACTGATTTTGTTCTGCCACTTTTTGTAAATCTTTATTTCAGAAAACAGCTATTTTACAGAATTATTGGTCAATCTTTGAAATTTACCAACTCAGCAAACACTATGCACATTTGCTGTAATTCTGCATTATAGTTACATTTTAAAGTAATTACGGTCTGTTTCACACATTTAATCGGCTACTGTGCCAGTCTAATAATTGTATTTATTGTCAATATTGCTTGTTTATGGTTGTTGATTCCAAAATGCCATGATTGCTGTTAACTGTCTATGAAACAGAAGTGTCTGTCGACTGTCACTAATTTGGTTTGAGTGCTGTCCTGATGTGTCAGCAGCATACATTAAATTTTGTTTGTTTTGTGTCATACATTTTGCAACCAGGCCAGTTGTCACCATATTCCACTGAAAAGCACACCCCGATCGTGTAATCATGCAATTATTTGTAATGAGGATTTGCATTTTATTTATTTTGGCAATAACTCTCAAACTAACTTTTCCTGATGAGGGAAGGGTGTGAGGCCGGTTCACTGCAGAGTCCAACTCCTACATTTTAAATATATTTCCATTCAATTTTGTTTATAAGAGATAAGGTTGTTATATTATAATTGCATAAATGCTCATTACTATGGTTTAGCATTTCTCCCCCCTGAATATTCATGGCTTGAATGAATGACTAACAGTTAAAGGGTTAGTTCACCCAAAAATGAAAATTAAGTCATTAATTACTCACCCCCATGCTGTACCAACCCCGTAAGTAGGCATGTGCCGGTATCAAATTTTTATGCTGCGGTTAATTGATTGAGCTTTTATCACGGTATACGGTATTATCACGATATTTTAATGAAATTATATTTTAATGCTCAAGAAAAACAGATGCATTGTGGGTCTCTAAAAAAACTCAACTTGTATCAATGTGTAATTGTGATTTTCAAAACATATGGTAAACTAAACCAAATTGTTTAAAGTTTAGTGACAACATGTTACAATGACTGGTAGGTTACTGTTTGTATTATTCAATTAAATTCTTGGATTTGATTTCAGTCTTAATTCAATATTGACTCATTTGGATAAATATTACGTAGGCCTCAGTCTGTTAATGTTTCTCAAGAAAAAAAACTCACATAATGCTGTAAACATACAGAGAGAAATTAAATATAATATTTAGCAAAATACTCCTTGCTATTTTTTGTCTAGTCAATGAATGTGCTGGTCATTAAATGGCTTTCCTGAGGTAAATGTAACGTTTTGACACAACTGTTACTGACCTGCAGTGTTACTGACCTCTTTCCGTGTTTAAAAACACTTATTGATCGTTATTATGTACAAGTAAATATACCTTTCGGTAAGTTGTACTGTATCTTTAAATAAAAACGAAAGTAACATGATGATCGGTTTACTTGAGGAGCAACGATCTGTGATCAGAACCTAAGAGCTGATTTATCAATAACAACTTTCATATCAAAAGTAACCTGCTCTGTCTAGTCTGTCGGTGTCAGTGTCCTCTTTGCTCTGTGATTTTTCTCTGTGGGAGAGCGTGTGAAAAGTGTCAAATGCGTTAAGCGCCTTTCAGACAGGACGCGGAATGCGCGACGCTGGCCGCTTGGTTCAACGTTGCCCTTCAGATACAACGCGATTTGCTATTTTACAAATAAAAAGTTTAACTATTTTGAACTTTAACACCGGCGTGGTCGATGCAGGTCGACGCAGCAGCAAAACATCCCTGCGCGGCGCGCGCGTATTCCGCGTCCTGTCTGAAAGTCTCAAGCTTGAGTCTCAAGCGGAATGTCTGAGAGTTGGCAGCCCTGCGGGAATAAATCGTCGGGAGCGTTCCGCCATGCTTCTACTCCATGTGAGGATTGTTTACATTAGACTAGTGCGCACTGTCGCATGCACACAGTGTACATGTGGGGATTGTTTACATCAGAGTGCGCGCGTGTTTTGCGCAGCACGCAGTGTTTGAGCGGTTGAAGGAAAATAAGCAGCTAATGCGCGCTCTAAAAGTCTAAATTCGAATCTATTATTTTTCACAGTATTTTGAAGAGCCCGCGATAACAATATCGTGCATATTCATTACCGCGATTTATTGCATTACCGAATACCGGCACATGTCTACCCGTAAGACCTTCGTTCGTCTTCGGAACACAAATGAAGATATTTTTGATTAAATTTGAGAGCTGTATAACTACCACATTGGCTCATAAGGGACTGCCTCTTGACGGCCCAGAAAGTCAATGAAGAAAATGTTTAAATATCCCAAGTGACTACCGTGGCTCAACTATATGTTTATCAAGCGACGCGAATACTTTTTGTGCGAAAAAACAAACAAAAATAACGAGTTTATTCGACTATTTCTTTTCTTTCTTGTAGGCCAGAACGAGACTTCCTTATAGATTTCCACGACGCATGCGCGAGAATTGCTATCTAAGCTGGTGTAAGCAGATCGCAAATCTCGCGCATGCGTCGTGGAAATCTAAGGAATTCTCGTTCTGGCCTACAAGGAAGAAAAGAAATAGTCGAATAAACTTGTTATTTTTGTTTGTTTTTTCGCACAAAAAGTATTCGCGTCGCTTGATAAACATATAGTTGAGCCACGGTAGTCACTTGGGATATTTAAACATTTTCTTCATTGACTTTCTGGGCCGTCAAGAGGCAGTCCCTTAGGAGCCAATGTGGTAGTTATACAGCTCTCAAATTTAATCAAAAATATCTTCATTTGTGTTCCGAAGACGAACGAAGGTCTTACGGGGTTGGTACAGCATGGGGGTGAGTAATTAATGACTTAATTTTCATTTTTGGGTGAACTAACCCTTTAACTATGAAAATCTAGTTCCTACTTAAAACTAACAGAAATCCCCTGGTAGTATAATGTCTATAATGACAATTTTCTTGTGAAACGGATAAAATAACAGTAATTAAAAACTAGATTACTGTAGTACTACAAGATAACGAAACACTGGTTTGTTTTAAAGCAATAATTGTACAAATGGCTTGCCATACCTTCCAGTTTTTTAAAAAACTAGAAAAATTATTCATTTTTTAACCATTTTGAAACCAGCAAAAACCGCACAGAGCATTAACTAAACGCCTTTGCGAAATTTGTTCAAATATTTTCGTCTTTCGTTGAAAAGAGCCAGCGCGCTGTGGAGTAACATGTTGAATTTCCCGTGTTGTTTTGGTCGCGAGAGGTAGGCCCAGGCTAAATCCACGGCATCGATTTAGACAAAAGCCGCCGTGTAGTAACAACAACACAGAGCAGTATACACTAGGCCTCAGTGCAAACTTACTGGACAACAGCTGTCCCTCCAGAGCTGTTCCCGCGGGACCGAGAGAATCGTTCTTTTTGGGAACATTCGCAGGAGCGCCACTGACCGGACTCCCTCCAAGCACGTATCCTCCCGCCGTCACTGCTCCACCGGCCAGAGATAAAGACACGGGGCTTCCTCCTCCTCCTCCTCCTCCAGCACCTGTACTACCGCCGTGAAGAGAAAGGCTCGCCATGGACGGGTCCTCGTGCAGAAACTGGCATTCATCTCCGTAAAAACACGTCTTGTCTTTCGCGTAATAACGACAGAATTTTACTTTCACACCCGGTATTCCGACACCCCCGAGCGGAGCAGCTGAAGCTGGGAGTCCACTGTTCATGGCACCGCTGCTGCTGCTGCTCCCGCCGGAAGAGACTTGCACATAGAGCGAAGTTTAGCAGCAGTTTATTCTAAAACACTTGAAAAACAACGGGCACCTTACTGGACGTTTAACAATAAAATCAGCCTCCTCATCGAGCCAGATCACTAGTCATAAAGAGCCATACTTTTGTTGCCATGCACTGATACTCGTTATCGGGGTCCATAGCTGGCCTACTAGTCCATCAGCCTGGCGTTTGGCTGAGATCATGCTGTTGTTGTTGTCTTCTGTCTACACTTGTTCAGCTAGGCGCTAATAGCTCTTGCTGTGCATGCTGGGTACGACCAGACTGCAGTTCACATAAGGAGTCAGCAGGGGATTGATTTAAATCATAAAGCACATTTTACAATTGATATATTGACATTTAGCCTAATACTTTCAGAGTGTTGATGTTGTATTTTGAGCGTTTAAAGTAGAGAATTTTACTTTGCACTTCTCAAAAATAGAAAAAAAAAATCAATTAATTTGGTATTTGTATCAATTTGATTTGATTAGGCCTAAATAATTTATACAGACATGTTTTATTATTATTATTTTACAACCAATTAAATAGTACATTTATCTAATATCATTAATTCATACAAACATTGTTCATTAACTTATTTCCCCCAGAATAAATTATATTTAAATGATTATTGCATTTGCTTAATTAAATGTTATACTTAAGAGATTTGTAATGTTAATGTCCTCTATTTAAGATTGAGTGCTTAAAAAATAAAGAATTTTGCTTTGCACTTTGCTCTCAATTCATTTCAATTCAGTTTAGTTACTCAATTCAAATGAGCCTTGTTGGCATGACAAATTGTACAGTGTACTGCCAAAGCATAGAGCAGGAAAAATAAAAATGAACAAAGGAGAGCAAATTGTGTGATGAACAAACGTAGAAAAACAGAACAGAAGTACAGTGTGTGTGTGCTGTGCACATGTGTTGTTTTAATCTGGATTATTCAAATTTGATTTTGTCCTATTTTTTTTTACAAATGTTATTTTTGTCCCACGAATTTACAGTGCCTTGCAGTCTCTTTTTCACCAAGTATAAATAATTTCAAATTTGGGCAAGTGTCATTTGGTTGGGCCAGATTCTGTGCATGAGGGAATCGGTGTCCTCCTGAGACTGATTATTGGTAGTCTGATTAAAGTCTGTTTTGGAGCCTCAGGATTCTCTCTCTCTCTCTCTCTCTCTCTCTCTCTCTCTCTCTCTCTCTCTCTCTCTCTCTCTCTCTCTCTCTCTCTCTCTCTCTCTCTCTCTCTCTATCAATCTATTTTTATTGTATATTTGTATTATAATTAAGTAGTCATTTTATTAATCATTAATCTATTTTTATTATTATTATTATTAGGCTGCAAATAGGCTACTGTCAAAGAAAAAATCTCAAATTCAAAAGGCCAATATATAGGCTACCAGTAATATAATAAACAATCTACTTGCCAAAAGGCTTCTTGTTTTAAGTTGCTGGAAGTGATACCAACCTGCATTTAAAGAAGTGCTAAACGTCAGTAAAGTGATGTTTGGTGTGTCATGTGCTGAAGAGAATGCCTTTGAGCCTTATTAAGAAGGGATGTTTTGTGTCATGCGCTGAAGTGAAAGTCTTTGCGTCTCTGTTCGCTGTCCATCCTATTTCATGATCACACAAGGGTCGAGGAAGAAACTGTTATGCATTCACGCAATGCGTCCAGGAAAGAGGCTTTTGGTGGGTAAGTCGGACAAAATATTTTTTTCAGTAAATTTTTATCACTGAACCGGTATATTTATTAGCTATAGCTTGAGTTAAGAAGTGCGCATTTTAATGTATTATTCGTGTTTGATTAATTTAGTCTAATTCTGTCATAAATCTATTCCTTTAATTGAAGGTCTAGTCAATTGAATTATGTTCAGTTCTCTTTTCTCTCACATTTGTTTTGTTCTTATCTCGCACCGAAGTGTTGCTTGTGCTGCACTTGGGATCTCGAGGCAGCGCGATGACGGACGCTTCAACTGAGACTCGTTCACAATGTGACACTGATGGATCGGTAAGTTATTCTGATCAGCTCCGGACTGGCTCGGACCAGATAACTATTCCCTCGCGAGTTTTGCCTTAACAGTATAAACGTCAGGCTATTTGAATAGGCTATAGGGTCACAAATGCCTTTTCCGTTTAGCCTATTTAAAAAAAAAATTAGCAAAGCACATTTTTGTAAGACTTAAACATTCTGTTTAAGGCCATTAACATTCAGTGGTACGGTTTGAAAAAGGAGATAAGAGATGATGATGATGATGATGATGTCATCATAGTTTTAATTTTGGCTATTTATGTGATTTTACATTATTTTATTAAGGAGTAGTTAATATGGTAAAAGATGGAAAATGTATTTTTTAAAAAATCATTTGTTGTTAACTACTGAACAATTCTTGCAGCATTTATTAGTTCAAAATTTAAAAAACAAAGTTGCATTTATTAACATTAGTTAATGCACTGGACTAACATGAACAAAAAATGAACATTTGGATTTTTATTAACTAACACCAAAGATTATTGTTGTTGTGCAATACACATTTTTAATGTTATAGGCCTTATAAAATGACACCTTGTTGTAAAGTGTAGTAAATTGTTAATGAAATTTCACTGTGTTTAGTAAAAAATCCATTTAATAACACACATATAAAATCTGGAATTATTTCATTGTTAAATTTTATTAGAATTAAACATTTGAACACCCTTTTTGCGTAATGAACTGCAATAGCTATAGGTTTATTGTAATTATTTGTAACAACTTTCTGTAAGAAAGGGCATTAGATCTTTTATCTTGCATTTATACCAATGTTCATCCAGGTTTTTAAGCAGTTACAAAGCAGCTATAAAAAAAAGCAGAACTGATCATTTTTGCAGTAATGACCACAGCGCTTTGGATTTTACATTACTGTCAGGCTAAGTTTGCTCTTTTTCCAGCATTGATGGTTATTGGGTGTTAAAGTCTACACGTCTTTTGTTTTCAGACCGTAAGATGCACATTGGACGACACTGATTTGATGAGTTCTGACCCAATCAAACTGAACGTCACTGAAGGACAAACTGTGGAAATTTATAGCGGATGCCAACTAAACAAACCAGAGGGGCTTAAATGTCTCTGCTACCAAAGGTTTGTGTTGGGTGGATAATGATTGTTTAATGAAGGTTTGAATAAATTAGTCAACTCTTAACACATCACCTGATGTAAAAATAAATAATTGATCGAAATCTTTTACATGCATTCTGCAGGATAAATGCCTCTGTGGATCCATTACAGAACACTGAGAGATTTGGAAATGAAATATACTCTGTAATATGTGGCAATCATAGTGTTACAGTCATTCAATCACAACAAAGTAAGAAATTACACATAAAACATCTATTTGCATCTGATCTAATCCATCACTTTACCCTGCTTGAGTTATTTCATTTAAGACGTCTCTTTGTTGTCTCTATAGGAAGGCCATCAGTTCCAGTGCTCAAAGCTACTGCAAAAGAAGGGAGCAGCAATATAGCTCAATTAGTGTGTACTTCTGAGGGGAACCCAAAACCAACCATCAGGTGGTATGGTAACAGGTAATATGAAGTTTTTTGTTTTAGATACTGCTTCTGAAGGGAAGGTAGGGAGAATTTATTAAATGAATCAGTAATATCATATTTCGATTGATTGTTTTCCATTTAGCACAAAACCAAAGGAGGGCATGTCAAATAAGTGGTATAAGACGGAGAGCATTTTGATGAGTTATGATTATTATCCTAACACTCCAAATATGAAGTGTTGTGCCTATAATTCACTGGGAGAAGAATGTACTGAGCTCCATCACTACGGTACGTAATGTTTTTTTTGTTTTTTTTTTTTTTACAATTATTTTTTTATACATGTACACAACCGGGTTTGGGGCTCTTAATGTTATTATCTTCTACTGTAGCTCAGTAAGGCTGCATTTATTTGATTAAAGTAAAAACTGTAATAATATGATATATTATTGAAATTTAGAATAACTGTTTTCTATTTTAATGTATTTTACATTTTTATTTATTCCTGTGATGGCAAATCTGATTTTTCAGCATCATTACTTCAGTGTCACATGATCCTTCAGAAATCATTCTAATATGATTTGCTGCTCACTCAGTAACTTTTTTTTTATTATGAGCAATGAAACAAAACAGTTGTGAAACATTTTCCCGATTATTTGATGAATAAAAAGAGCAGTGTTTATTTGAAATAGAAATATTTTGTAACATTATGAATGTCTTTACTTTTAATCAATTTAATGCATCCCTGTTGAATAAAAGTATTCTTTCTTTAGTCAAACCGACCCAAAACTTTTTCCAATCTTTGTGGTCTGTGCATGAGACAAGAAGACATTGTTGAAATAGCGTCAGCGACCTCATTATATCAATGTACAACATAGAGTTTATGTTAATTTTATACATCAACAAATTATTTCGTTTTCCTTCAGATCTTAATACGAACGTGGATGGGCAAAAGACGATTTTCCTGAAATCTGGTCGGTCTCTGCTACTCCGTTGCACCATAAATTCTAAAATAAACCCTGAACTGAGATGGCACTTCAACAACACAGTAGTAAGATATGGATGGAAACCATGAAGAAATATCCTTGTTTCACTGCTCAGTTTGCTAATGCTTTGACTTGTATTGTATGCCCTTAATTCAGGTCAAGGGAATTCCATCATTATATTTTTTTCATTGGACAGAGCACTTCTTTATCGAATCAGTTAATGTGATGCATAGTGGGGAGTACATCTGCACGTCTAAAAACAGCCACTCCGGGAACACCTATGTCAAGGTCCTTGGTAAGAAAAGCCATTTTTTATTTGAATAAATGTGATTATAGAGTAATACAGAAGTTTTTTACTATAAATTGAGACAATTTATTTTTGCAAAAAACAATAATAAAAATGATATTTTTGCCCCTCCTCTATTGGCAATCCTTCCTTGACAGAAAATGACAAAATCGACATATTGCAGTTGAATAAGAACAACAGCATCCTAGCACGAAATAAGGCAAGCTTTTGCTTCCAGGCTCTGGTGTTCTCCTTCCCAAAAGCCCAGTGTCACTGGATTACACCAAATCAAACCAAAATACAGGGAAGAGAGACCCACCACCTTGATTTTAATAGGTATTTACCTCATGCCGTCCATTTTAATCCATTTTAGAGTGTTGTTGTGTTGGCTTATTTTGTTCATTCTCTCTTTAGTACTTTTGAGATGTGTAACTCTGAACCGGGCCAATATCAAATGAAACTAATGACTCAAGAATATAGTGTCACGAGGAACATGTCTCTCTGCATTATAGGTAAGTGGTCATAAACAGTTTTAAAAAAGATATGTTAAATGTGAAATACAGTTGTCAACATTTGAAGTGGATGATTTTTGAACAAGACCCATTCTTGTCTTAGGACAACTTTGATTAATTTTTTTGATCCACTTCAAATGTTGACTATATTGTGTATTAATATGCAATGATTTTGCAGACATTCCTGTAATTACAATTCACAAAGACTCAAACTTCACCATTTGTGAGACTGAAAGCTCTCTACCTGTGACTGTCTCTTGGAAGATCTGCCCATCACATGCTAAGTAAGTCATCAAGACATCATAAGAAATACAAGCCATTTGTTTGTAGGCTTATTTTAACATATACATGACTTATAACCAATTTCTCTTCTGAAACACGCCATTGTTTGCAAATGAATCGACCTATGAATATTTTCGCAGATGTATTGACCCTAAAGAGTGGGAAGAGATGCCTGTTGCCCAGCCCAAGTTCATTGATTCAGATCAGTTCTGTCAGAAGAAAATTCACTTTGCCAGACCACACTCAAACAGGGAGGACCATCTTATTAAATGCTGCATCACTAACAGAGCAGGGACTGGCTGCAGTGAACAAATACTACTGCAAACGAGTAAGTCTGCAAATTGAACACTCCTGAAATTGGTTAGAGCAATCCTCATTTTTAGTTAGAAATATGGTTAGCATTGAGAATCGGTTTGGTTAGCAGACGCAGGCTTAAAATGTTGGCGATTTTATTCATACGCAGGTTATCACTCTCTTTTTCCTCAGCATTCCGCATTGAATACGTGATTTGTTTTCTGCTCATCTTCATACTCCTCGTGGTCATCTTTGCCTTAATCATCTTCATCAGAGTTAAGGTAAATCTGCTGTCTTTCTGATGACAAACACCAAGAATCATAGATCTGACCTCTTGAAACATACACTCCTTTGTCACAGAAGCCTGCCTACCAGTGTCAGATCCAGATGATTCAGATGGTCGGACCCAACGACAATGACTACATATACATTGATTTCAAGGAGTTTAAGTATGATCTGAAATGGGAATTTCCACGAGAAAATCTCGAGCTTGGTAAAGACTAGGAACCACCTTCTTTTGACTTGCTAGAAATAACTTATTAGGTGTTACTAATTCCTTCTGTGTTCTTTCCAAAGGGAATGAGCTAGGATCTGGTGCTTTTGGGATGGTTGTGCAGGCTACAGCATATGGGATCAGCAAGCCGGGAGTCTCCATTCAGGTAGCAGTAAAAATGTTAAAGGGTACGTAATGGCCAAACTGCCATGAATATCTCTACAAAACGAAATCAATCAATTGTGTACGCCATTGGTATTTTGGGAATATGTTGGTAAAATGTGTACTTCGTATTGTTAACTTGCATCAAACAGACAAGCACCAGGCAATTGAGAAGGAAGCTCTGATGTCTGAACTGAAAATGCTCACTCATATTGGACACCATGAAAACATTGTCAACTTGCTCGGAGCTTGCACAGGCACAGGTAAGGTTTGGAGAAGTCATGGGTTTCTGAATCTCTCTTGAATACTTGATTCTGATTGGTCGGTTGAAGGTTTGACCTCCTGCATGACAAGTTTCCATGTCTCAGCAATCTAAACTCTCTTTCTTCTCACATAATAAATTAATTTTATAGTCTTTTCTTCTCTAATGTGACATACTTATCCGAGTGAAACGGCTTCTCAAACAAGAACAAATGTAGGACTTGTTTTGGTCCATTGGGAATTGATTGGATGGTTGTGGTTTGCTATCGCTGTGATGTCATGTGAGTGAAAGGTTGTCCTGCCCTCACACCAGTCAACACGTCATCAGAGAAGAAAAGAGATATCGCTGCATGAGGAATGAATGAACGAGGCATTTATTTAAAACTTTGTACTACCAAAGTGCTTTAAAATCATATTGGCGTCTCTCCTCAACCACCATCAGTTTTACCAGGGCAAGTTATTTTGATTAAAGATTACGAGGGAACATAACTTTATAAAAAAAAAAAATATGTATATTTATAAATACTGTAATATTACATGAAAAAATAAGATGTGTCCATTTTGATTTCATGGTGACTTGAACTCAAATCAATACTAGTGTGTAAAAAAAATATTTTCATGATTTGTAATCACAACATTTTTTCTTTTGTCAAATCAACTTACCGGTAATTTATGTATAGTTCAGATAACTTAATATTTTGAGTTTCTGGTGATTAAATTAATCTCCTTCATTGTATTAACTCATTTTTTCCATTTCAATGAACTTAAAATTTTAAGGCAACCAGGTTACTTATTTTTTTTAAGTTAAACCAACAATATTTTTTTTTATTTTGCAGGTCCTATTTACCTGATATTCCAATATTGCTGTAACGGAGATCTCTTAAACTACCTGAAGAGCAACAGGGAACGTTTTCACAAATATCTGACAGATGCTTTCAACAGGGACAGATTCAGGGGCCTCTACCACAACTTCCAGCAGAAGAGAAACTCCAGGTTTGCATGAGAGTCCACCAAAAAGTGAATTATATTAGTGGCCTTTTAGACAAAGCAAAAAAAAAAAAAAAAGGAAAAAATAAAGCCCCGTGTGGAACAGAGGGAAATGAATATCGTTTGCAGAAGGGGAACCGTAAATCTAAGGGTGTACATAACTGAATAAACTGTCATGCAGTTACTGTAAAAGACCATGTGCTTCTCTCTCCTTGCTGTTTCTCCTCAGTGAGTACGAGCCTGATAACAACCCATGCCTGCACATGGCTCTTACAAGCAACGGACAGGAGATCGAGGCACTCCTCAGTCCCAGCATCAGCTCAGTGTCTACTGTTGAGGGTATGTGGAAAAAAGGGAAATTTGAGAGGTTTTAAAACAAATGAATTATGCAACTTTTATTACTTTAAAAAAAATGGACAACTCATGTTTTTATTGACTAATGACTTTGACTTTGATGATTGACTTTATTACCTACTAATTGTATTAATTCATATGAACTTGTTTCACAGTGCATGCATGTTTTCATAAAACATCAATTCATATAATTAATTTGCCCCTATTACAGTATTTTAAAGGTTCCTAATCTTGTTTTTTAGGTCTTCTACAATAGGTTTACATGCAAAAATAAGATTTCATATTAACTTGTTTCACTTATTAAACCATGCATGCATGTTTTCATAAAACATCAATTCATAGAATTAATGTGCCCCTGTTATGGTATTTTAAAGGTTCCTAATCTTGTTTTTTAGGTTTCCTACAATAGGCTTACATGCATCCAAGGTTAAAAAAAACACTTTAATTTTCTCATAATATACAACGCAGCATCACCTCTTTTCCCACAGTCTGAAACTGTTCGATAAAGAATTCAGTCTCTCTAAATTCTCAGCTACAACTATAGTGTTTGAGGGGGAGTCATGCTGTTTGTGGGCTGCCAATGCAGACCATTATGCAAATTTGTAACAATCCTATGTAGGATCTTTTTATATTCTCAAACAGCTATACTACACATTGCATGAAAGGCAATGTTCAAAAAAGCGTAATAGGGGCTTAAAGCAAAACTTGATTGCAGAATGTCAATATGATCATTTTGTTTGTTATTTGTAACCAACTAACTAAGAATAATTAATACAATAACTGAATTGTTTTATGTCAATTCTGTAAAGAAATGCTTGAATGTGAAGACAAACTTCAAGAAGAGGAACTTCAGAGTCTCACCTATGATGACCTCCTGAGTTTCTCTTTTCAAGTTGCAAAGGGCATGGAGTTCCTGTCCTCTAAAAATGTGAGCTTATCTTTCTGATCCAGAAACTTTTACTTCCTCCTATTTCAGAAATGAAACTGACACCTTTCTTATTTCCCCCATCCCCCCTCCCTCCCACTATTTAATGGTTCATCTTGATTTGTTTTCTCATATCGTTATATAGTCAATGCAAGGCTTTTGCAAACAATATTCTGCCTACAGTGTATCCATAGGGACTTGGCAGCCAGAAATGTTTTGGTGACACATGGCAGGCAAGTGAAGATTGGCGACTTTGGCCTCGCCAGAGACATTGAATATGATTCCAACTACGTCGTAAGAGGAAATGTAAGTATTTTGGGTGCATATATGATACTGGTCTTCATTTAGTTGACTTGTAATTGTTTACATGCTATTTTTGCAGGTGCGTTTGCCTGTGAAGTGGATGGCTCCTGAGAGTATTTTCAAAGGGCTGTACACTATGCAGAGCGACGTCTGGGCCTATGGCATTCTTCTATGGGAAATCTTTTCTCTAGGTGTCTCTCTTTGCTGTCAAAACAGCTTAACTTTTAAACAAGAACATTTCTAGAAATCATTCCTGACTAAAAGAACACAGAGTTTTGTTATTTTTACTCACTATTCATGTCTATTAGGAGTCACCCCATATCCTGGTATAACTGTGAATAGCTCATTCTACAGAATGATTGAAAGTGGATATCAAATGGAGCAACCCTATTATGCAGCAGAATCTATGTAAGTGCCTCTATTTTTAATCAAAATCAAAATCTAATTGATATATCCTGTATATATATGTATGTGTGTGCGCATATATATATATACAAAATTAACATAACATTTCTTATGCAGTACTTATTATAGACTGGTGTTTGTTTTTTTTTTTAGATACAGCGTTATGTGTCGCTGCTGGACACTGGATCCTGCAGATCGACCTTGTTTCTCCAAGCTTGTGGCTTTCATGGAAAAAGAGCTGGCTGCTTTGGAAGAGAGGGTGACTCTCTCTTTATTACTTTATATATTAGAAGTTATATTTAAAATATGGTAACATTGCTGGCGGATATTTACTGTGATATCTGTCTACAGCTATATTACAATTTTGGAGGATCCTGCCACAATGAAGTAACATACCAGAATGCACCGATGACCCCTGATGCTACATTGATGGAGAACAAACAGGATGCCTTCCAGTCCAACACTGAGAATTCAGATGAAGACAAATCTGTGGACTGTCCTGGAGTAGTCCGAACCGAACCTCTTGTTTGAATGAGTTTAAGCCTTGATTATGTCAAGTAATTGGGAAGACTTAATGCTAATTTTGTGCTTCCAATACCACTTACACATAGCATTTTCAGTTTCAAGAGAAATTGTGGAAGGAATTGTTATGTAACATTTATTGTACCGCCAAAAATATGTTTAATAATTTTAGATTGAGGCCTATTAACCCTGATTCGGCTATCAGATGTTAATTTGTTTTTTTTTATGGGTGTAAACAATGTTAAAAATACTATTTGAATGTTGTTTTGTTCCGCAAGCTACTTTAGGAACTATGAACAATAACAAATCTTCCAAATTTATAATAGAAATTTTGAATCTAACCTGCTTCTGTACCATAATGAAGGATGATAAAAGTTGCTGTTTGAGTAGATCTGGACAGTATTATGTTATTTTTGCTGCATTTGCTAACTAATAAATAAATAAATTGCTCTATTTTTGTAAGAAAAAATCTATTTATTCAACCTTTAAAACATTTATGGCTTAATCATTTCATTTAATATTATTTATCATGTAAAAATAGTCTAATATGCTTACAGTAGGTATGCTTATAATCTCTTGTAACACAAATTTGATTTGGACAATTTTGCAGATTTCTATAAACAAAATTAACTTTTTCAGTTCCATTGCTTAAAGTGATAAAGTATTAATTGTAATGTAATCATTGTTAAGCCTAGCTTTCGAGAGCACTGAGACAGTGAATGAGTGGATATAATAATTGAAAAGGGATAATTGTTATTTTTATGCTGGAGTTGAAAAATGATTATGTGTAAGGTTTAAGTAAGATGCAACAGAGCAAATAAAAAAAAAAAAAATGGTTCATTTTTGTCTCATATTTCTTTGTAACCTCAGTTAGCGCCCGAGCGAGCACCGATGATGAGGACCCTCGTGGAATTGCTCCGTTATGGAATGCGTTGACTTTGAAAGTGTTTATTTCATAGACCTACAGAAGAGGGCGACATGGTGCAGACTAGTCCGCACTTTCGTGACGTGACGCCGCTGGGCGTGTTAAACAGTGTACTAAAACCGCAAGTGTGTTTTGTGCATTTTGTTTCGCAGTTACCTTCGTCTTCTAGTCCTCTCTTCTCGATAGTTCTTCCTGTTTTTAAACGTTAACGAGAATGTGCCCAATTTGGGCATGGGCGTGGTAGCTTCTGACGTCACACTTGGATGGGGCCGGGTTGGATATCCACCGCAGGATGCAGCGAGACTCGAGGCTCCTCCATCCTGTGCGGGCTCGGAAAAAGTGCGTATCCAGTAACAAACAAGACTACACACAAACAATTTTTTGAGTTTAAGTTAAACGTATAATTATCAATTAAGAGTGACAGACACACACACACACACACACACACAGACACACACATCAGTTAGCTATAATGAAAAGTCAGTATTGAACAAAAAGCTTCAAAATCTTTTTTTTTCTTCTTCAAAATCCTTGCATTGTTACATCACCCCGGTGGATCTCATAATGTTACATCTCACCCCAGGGGTATTACAACTAATGGGGTGAATTGTAACATTTCACTCCTCGTGTTTGAAACTAAACCATGCATTTTCTGTTTGTGTTGCAAATATAATAGTTATGTCATGTGATAGCAGACACTTGTAACTAGTTTGAATCACATTTTGAACACACTGGCTTAAAATTAGCCTACTCCAACATAGACAGAAGGTCAAAAATGTTAACCGGGGTATTGGTATTTTTGGCATCCTCCGCATTGCGCTACATTACGAATAAAATTAACTGATATTAAATGGGAAAGCTAGGGTACTTGCCCCAACGGACAATGACCTCGTCCAATATTGGCTTTAGCCATTTCCAGTAGGCTACAGTTTGTAGAGGACACGCGCCGGAGCTATGGATATAAGGGCTGTAAATGCTCTTACGTATGAAGAATTTGTGGAACTATTTGGTAATGTGGTTGAGAAATGCCCCATCATTTCTGCAGCAATATGGTCCAATCGGCCTTTCAAAGATCTAACAGACATCGAGGCTCACATAACGGAATTCATTGACAGCCTGTCAGACTCGGGTATGCTATTTTTTCTGCTTTATCAACTTAACAACATTTGGTATCACGTTTTCTTAAGTTTTAAACACAATAATTTATTTACTGGTTTATATACAATAAAAGTACATTACATGTGTTCAGGTAAAGAGGGCATTTTGCGGTGTCATCCTGATTTGGCGGGCCGAGATCTCCAGAGCGGGACACTAACACGCGAGTCTCGAGAAGAGCAGGGTCAAGCCGGTATGACCGCACTGGATTCCGCAGAGATTCTGCTCATGCACCGTCTAAACTCGGAGTACAGGGAACGCTTTGGCTTTCCTTTCGTCATATGCGCCCGTCTCAACAACAAAGCGGATATTATGCGCCGACTGTCTGAACGCCTGGAGAATGATTGTGCAGCGGAGCGGGAGCTCGCGATCGAAGAGGTTAAAAAAATCTGTAGCCTCAGGTTACACAATATTGTCCTATCTGACATTCAAACCAAACTGTAGCCTACCTCAAGTTAACTTTACAAAAGTTTGACTGCCTCTCTCTACTTGATTGTAGCCTAGCTATAGGCTATTGTTTTAATTTGTATGTTAATTTGTGTAATATAAAAAAAATCCTCAAAAAAGCAGTGTATAAATAAATTGAGTAATATATTATGGCGTTTATAAGCCACGTTTTAGGGCCCTTATCTCAATAAGATAATATATTTGTGATCTACCCTAAGCCTATTTGTGCTTTGTAAATCTATAATAAAATAAAGTGATGATAATGGCAGCACGATGCACTTTTTTCTCGATGCACTCTCATGTAACATCATCTCAGAGATGTCTATCTGATGTAGGCCTACGTTTACGTCTGGAGGACTTTTTTTTTTGAGGGTTTGCTCATCTGCAATACTATGACGTTTCCTGACTTAAATAGATTTAGAAAATGTCTTTAAGATGTTTATAGGTAAAACTGACATCTTAAAGATGTCTCTCAGATGTGCTTTCCAGATGAAACACTCTTTAACAGACATCTAGCAGATGTATCAGGGTATAGCCCTAGTGATTTCTTTTTTTAAATTGGCGGTCTTTTAAAATGCTGGGTTAGCCTATTTCAACGCAAATTTGGGTCAAATATGGACTAAACCCAAATGTTGGGTCAAAAATATAATTTAAAAATGTAGCCTACATTGGATTAAAAATTTTAATTACATTTTTAACCCAACATTTGGGTTTGTCCATATTTTACCCAATTTTGGGTTAAAACAACCCAGCATTGTTTAGAATGCACATGAAATAATGCTGGGTTGTTTAACCCATCTTTGGGTCAAATATGGACAAACTCAACCATTGAGTTTAATGTTTAAATTGAGTTTGTCCATATTTGACCCAAATTTAGGTTCAAACAACCCAGCAGTGTAGGCTACGGGGTTGCCATTTTATTAATTTTGTTAGCACCAAATTAAAACACTTGATGACTGCCCACATGCTATTACATGGTTTGTAGGTCTAGCTGCATAGGCTAAATGTTATTATGTATTATTACATAATATTATTATTATTATTGTTATTATTATGTTGTAATGATAAAGGTATATTTCCCTAAATTAAGAAACTATTTATTTTCTATCTAGCTATAAAAATGAGTAGCCATTCAAATTTTATTAGACTATGTCTAATAATATAGCCCTATCCTAACATTTGGTGTTTCAATGGCGTGCTGAATTTCGATTAACCTGCACAGAAAACACGAAATTGACTCTATAGAAGCTTCGTCTCTCGCGCAACTGAGATCGCCCCCTACTGCCAATATTCAGGATTTGACCAAATGTCACTGTGAGAACGGATTGGAAAGTCACAATTTGCACACTTATAGTTCCAATCATCGATGGCAGACTGATAGATTGCATTGAAGACACAGTCTCGGATGTCTCTTTTGGACAGTCATATTTCTTACGAGTCTTTTGAAACTGGAGATACGTGCGAGTGCAGGGGTGAAGGCGGTCCCGCTAGAGTTCCCGGGGCCACACACGACTCATCCTTCAAATCCCCGGACGTGATGGAGGAATCCTGTTCGGGGTCCACTCCTCTGGCTCTCCTCTTGTCCTCCTCCTTTTTCCACTTCATGCGTCGGTTTTGGAACCAGATCTTGATGTGTCTCTCTGTGAGGCTGAGGGTGAGCGCGAGCTCCACGCGGCGTGGGCGCGAGATGTACTTGTTGAAGAGGAACTCTTTCTCGAGCTCGAGCAGCTGCGCTCTGGTGTAAGCAGTCCGCGTGCGTTTGTTCTCCTCTGCCTCTACCATGTAAGGGCCTAAAACACAAGTAGCCTACATGAGTGACATTTAGGCTAGTAAAGTGCTTCTGAGGATATTAAAGACTAGACCCAATAGTTTAAAAGTTATCTTTCTGACAGCGTTATGGCGAATTGCTTTAAGCAGCCTCTCGTGAATCAACATTTTCTGAAATAATTATTTAGGCTATCTGAACGCTAAATATTTGTAACATTACCAGCTGTTTTGTTAGGATTTCCATCAATAATATCCTCTCATTCGTTTTCTAATCAAATACCAATTAAAGAATTAAAGTTAGTCTTAAAATTAATTTATTTAAAGCAAAATAAATCAAGAATAAAATTCTACATTGGTCCAAATTTCACACTTTTGGAGACATTTCAAGTGTCAAGTATAGGCTAACATCTGTGTTACCCCAAAATAACCATATTATATAGGCTACATATTTGTTCAATAATATAGCCTAGGCTAAATTCGACGTAGAAAGTAAATTATTTTGTTGTCATTAAACTTTTTACAATTATTATTTATATTTTATTATCATTTTATTTTATAGCCTATTGATTTTAATCATAATTATTTTTACAATAACTGTAGCCAAACAATATATTGTTCTCAAAATTATCTTGTGAATAGTTGTAGGCTAATAAAAAATAATCAGGCAGCTGTAATGAATTAATTATGCAATACAAATGAATTTATAGAGTGAAGCAAAGAATCAAAAACTAACATTCTTAATTTCTGCTGCATTCTTCTTATGGGCGATTTTGGACATCATGTGTATCCTAAACTGTAGTAAATAACTGCTGTAACAGTTTAGATCATTAGAAATATTAGCCTATAATAATTATCTACTTGCAAATGCTATGGATTTAAGCGCCTGAGAGTTTGGAGATCGTGCGGATGAATTTGACATTAGGGCCTACTTTCGTATTAATAAAAGTTATTTGGTAAACCTGTAAAAATTAATGACCAAAGTAGGCCTAGGCTGAGTTACCTGTCCACTGTCCTTTCCAGGCGTGTGAGTGAGATTTAGTTGACTTCATCCACGGGAATGGAAGATGGTATCTGTTCCGATCCCCGCACAGGTCAAGAGAGTCTCCGTAACCCCCGAGCGTCTGTAGAGATGTCTGTGGAGTCTGAGGAAGATGAAGACGAGGCCCTGCTAGATCATCTCGGGTCGACATGTTATAAGAGGTAATGTCGGTAAGATTTGGCTGGTCCTGTGCGCCCAATGACGGCGAGGCGTAGACGGACTGAGTCTGTCTACTCATATACAAACACGGTGGAGGGTTTTGGCAGTAGTCTTCGTTGGGGTGTCTCTGGAAGGCGCAAGATTCCTTGTACAGATGGTTAGGTGAGTAATAGTGCTCTTGCCGATTCATGATTGCCACAGACCGGGGAAACCGTGCTGTACTCGAGCACATGAGCCAGCGCCCTGCCCCTGATCAGGACCTCTGCTCTACCTGCAGTCTGAGCGTCTGGCGCCGCTCTAGGGCCTCATAGGTGTGCCACCGGGACCATGTGACCCTGCTGCACCATCGCTTTCACTGTTTACACAAAGCTGTCAACTGGCAGTAGATTCTGTTCGTGTTTCCTTTTGACTGCCCCGCGGTTTGACAATAATTGAACAGAACTGACCATGCTCAAATCAATGCCCTTGGCAAACACTCTCTGTTTACCTGCGACTATGTGCTACACCTGCAGTTGTAATACTACTACAAAGACAGGTGAATCGGGGGATCAGTAACTCTCCCCGTGGAAAAGCTGACACTTTTCATTGAATACCGACCCGGTAAAAAAGAAGATAAAAGCTCATTGAAAGTGTTTGATAAAGGAGTTATAGTTTTATATGGTTCGAGGCTCCTCTTTTTGTCTTATCAACTTCCGAGGAGAGACAGGATCGATTCTCACTTATCAGAGGCAAAATCATCAAAACCTATCTGATTTTTTTATTGTCCTGAAGGAAAAAATGTTACAACAACGTCATTAAGCATTGTGCGAGTTAAGCTGTAGCTTGTCTACCACCGGTTGGGGCTAATCCTTTTCTTTTTTTCATATGGCTAAATCTTAAACATCTATGCAAATGATATTGAGAATGCGTATTTCAGCTGTCGGTAAATAGATGCGAGTGTTGGCATGAGGTCACCATGGTGAATGTGATCCATCAATCTTGACCAGATATCCCAAATCTGATCGACCAAATTTGAGGGACAGGTTTAGCTTATGTCGAGTTGTGGCTCACATCAGTGTTATTCATCACTTCCCTCTGATTTTATGGATAACTTATGGTTATGGGTAGGGTTAAGGCTAAATTTCCAGACGGATGTTGTTCCAGGATCAACAAAATATGTTGATCTAGGTACGCTTTTACTCGGAAAAATCACGATGACCAAGCCAGTTTCTCGGATGGTAGCACTTTATTCGAGATTTAGCGTAGCACACAAATAAGTTTACAAAGTATTTAAAATAATAGCTAATTTGCGTTTAGCTTATATGGTGCCAATTTGTGTCTTGTGAGTCACACTTTATCAGACTGCGCCCCAAAATTATGCCTATAAGTGTATTTAAGAGAGGTATTTGTATTTGTCACGTAAAATATGAATACTGGTTGCAAGGGCAATCATTACACACATAAGCTACATCCCTGTTGTCTTCAACCAAGCTTACCTTCCATTAAGCACACCCGCCCACGGTCCATTAAACTAAAGTCCTCGTGGTTAAATAAAACGAGCTGTTCGGTGTAAACGAATTAACATGGAGAGAAAACAAAACTCGATTAGTTAGAGGTGTGTGCGTAACGTGCATGCGCGCACCGGGCTGTTTGGAGAGGTCAGACTCAGAGAGAAACGGGCAGCGTAAAAAAGTGATTGGAATTTCCCCAAGTCTTCTATGCTAAAAACGCATCCAAAACAATCAATCATTTTCAATTTGAATAGACTTAAGCGTTATGTTTTATGTATTTTTCGTCAGTTTTAAAAAAATTCAAAGTTTTTTTAATAGAAGGGGAGCATTAGGCTTCAGCAAAATCAACTTTCATCCTTTAACATAAAATGTGTTGCATTTTAAATTGTATTAAGATTAGGCTAACGGATGAATCACCCGATCTTTTACATTTAGCCTATAAAAAATTGAAACATTTTTATTATGTTCAAGCAACATTGGAGTGGAGACTGCATGACATAGCCTAGTGCTGTGTTTACACGGGCCTCTTCAAATGACAATAATGGCACTTTCTCTGCTATCTTAATGGGGCTCTCATGCGATATCATAAAGTTCAGGTAAATCCATTCCTCGCAAATCAAGCCTTGTAACGACGCTTAATGGTGTTTATATATGAGTTCTTTTGAAAAGGGAAGGAAACCGTTATCCGCGATTATTTTCACAATGTTGAAAGAGCACAAAAGGTTTTATGAAGCGTGAGTGAGACGACGCAATTTGGAAGTATATCCATGGAAGGTTTTGAGAGGAATAATGGTGCAAAGTGATATTTAATGTAGTTTTGCCATGCAATAGAGGAAATACACAACTTAAGGCACTGGTACATAAAATCGGCTGTAGCAATTAAAATGCGTTTTGAAACTTTAGATAAAATGCAATAAACCAGTTAGGGGACGCGCGCAGAAGCGTTCTGGAACCACTTGTATGTTTGAGTAGGAGTAATGTGCAGCTATAAACGAGTAGATAAATCATAATGGTACAATTGCGTTATGTAAAACGATACGTATCAGATGTTGATAAACCCGGTCTGCACCCACAAGATGCTTCGTCTCATAAAACGTAAATGAGAAGGCAGTTTTGGCTACACGTGCTATTTTTTGATTAAATGTATAATATTTATATATAATATTTTCTGGCTATTTACTTTAGTTTTTTGTATTACAAATATTTTTGAGTCTTTATTTTATTGTATTTGCCTACTCAAGTTCCCGTTAAAACTCACTAGACATGCTTATTTTGTGCACTTATTTATGTATTTTTGTCCATCAAAAGTTTGCTTTCACTTTCATTGAATCCACCACACACACACATTATATAGTACATATGCAGAGTTCAGATGCAAAAGCCTCTAAGTGCCATTTGAAATTTTCTTCTAAAATGATCATTTTTATCAAGTTTGTATATTTAAGTTCAGTAATTTCACTTAAATGGCAATGAGGATTATCTATTAATTGTCATTTAAGTGAATTTACTGAACTTAAATATACAAGCTTGATAAAAATGGTCATTTTAGAAGAAAATTTCAAATGGCATTTAGAGGCTTTTGCATCTGAACTCTTCATATAGGCCTCTATTTCGACACTCTCAAAATTATTTTCTTGATTTGATCTCAAATTTTTATCTTTTGTTAAATCAACTTAGATAATTAATGATGTTCAGATAACATAATATTTTTGAGTTTCTATTAAACCAGTGTCAGGGATATATAAACATCTGAAGAGACATTTGTAAAGCACAATAAGGTTTTAAAATCTTCTGAAAATCGGACGTTCAAGTTAAAAATTAAATAATAAATCACAGCCTTTCTCAATAATAAAAATCTGTCTGTTTAGTTGTTTTTAAAATGCTATTTTAATAATATTGTTCAGCAAACATGACCAGACGTATATATTTCATCCATTCCCAAAACACATTCTCCGTTGAATCATTTTTTTCTGTCAGTGTATTTTTTGACATCTGGAGAACTGTCCCGCACTGGTGAGCGAGATCGACTCCTATCTGACTTCCGGGAGAGGCTGGGGGAGTGGCTTCTGGATGATGAATGATTGCGTGTCGAAGAGCTTTTTTTTGAAGTGTGAAAATGAGAATTGTGTCCTCTGTTTGATTCGACTTTTTTGTGATTGCACTTTTCACAGTCTGTTTTACGATGTCTTTCACAAACTCTGTTGTACTTATGTTCATCCCTTCCTCTCTCAGAAGAACGCGTCAGAGCAGAGGAACGAAGAGTGTTCAACAGAAAGCGCTTGTTTGTACTTCCCAGCGGACATTTCATCCTAGAATAAAGTGATTTAACCAGCTTTCAGACGCAAATTACATAAGGGAATTACTCATTCATTTATTTATGATAAAGAAATCTTTCTAACCTGGTTATCCACACTTACCAGCCAGCAGGACCCATAGTCTGAGCACGGACTTTTGCTCTATTAGCTTCTTTAAGGAGCTCATCCACTGCTTTCCTGTGGGAGAAATGAATATTAACAGGATTTATAGCGTGACCTAAGGACACGAAACATGTACTGTTTCATTGACAATCCTGACTGCAGCAGAGACAAGATTCAATATTTCTCTATTGCTTTGTACTTTCTCAGTAATTTTTCAAGGCAGTGGCACTGTATAATCCCTGGCCATACATTTATTACCAAACGTTATAAGATACCTCTTCAGTCTTCACTGACCGTTAGCCTAGTGCTATAACGTTAGTGTTGCACATATAGCATAACTTCTTAAAATGACCCTCTATAGTTTGGTTGAAAACAGCTATATATAATATATATTTAGGATATTCATACCTCTCTAGTTCACTATCATCCATGTTTTATTTAAACTTTAACGGCATTCAATTATATTATAATTCGTTTCGACTCTGCTTGCTAGCTGCTGTTATTGTTGTTTCCTAGACTTGAGGACCCAAATTAGGACCCCGTTGGACAGTCCCCGCTCAGTCCTAACCTAAATAACCGATGTAATAATATAACCTGACGTCAGTTACGTACACGATAAAATTTAAAACGAAAAATAAAAACCCTTTCTGTATTTTGAATTAACAAGTACAACGTTTATTTGCGAAACTTGGCTGATGTATGCCCAACTGTCGCATTTCAATCAGGCACTAAAATGGTCACGTCAGCTCTTCGATTGACAGCTTGCTTGCTGAGTTCAGATCGGAACCACATATTAACATAGGCCTACTACTCCTACTATTTTTACCATATTTTTCTATGGCAGGGACAGTTAGAGCACTATGTGGTTCCGAAATCAGCAGCGTGAGTGCCCGTATCTGCCCAACGGAACGGGGCCGGTGTCGGTGATGAGAAGGAGACTTATTTCTGCGAATCGGTTCTCTTGAACGAAACCGTGCAAAATGATTCAGTGGTTCATTACATGCTTTAAAACGTTCTTATAGCCACCGCACACATCGCTATTTATTTCGTTTTTCGATTCATTTTTATAGGCTTATATATTATGGGTGTTTACTGTTTTGTCTCAGCTAAATTTGTTTCCACCATGATAAACCACGGATCCCACTTTAATTTGTATTTACAACAAACACAACTAAAATTCCTTTACATTCCATGGTAATAATGTATTTATATTTTAATATAATATAATTGAAACTAACTTTGGTTTGAGTTTGCTTTCGTAGATAAAGTTCAATACATTAAGTCATAGCTACACATATTTCCAGAGCATTTTATTTGCAACATTTTTGCTACTCGGCTGTAAGGTAACTTGTGTAAATAAAATCCTTAGGCTATTACTTATTCACTCCAGATGATTTTACTATCAGAGACGCGGTTCTCAGTTCAATGAGTCGGGCAGTTGTTTACTCGATAGCCGTTCTGACCGATTCATTGCAATACGCGTGCAGAGAATACGTATTGTTTAGACCAGTTTCACAAACTGGTTCGACTGATTTGTTCAAAAGAGCCGACTCAAATGAATCATTCGTTCACGAATCGGACATCGCTAGCTACAAGACAGATACGGGGGTGTTTTGACGTGCGGATGCGGCTCGGGCAAGCTGCGGTGGATGTGATTGAGCTCCATGATTCTCCCCTCTCGGGGCCAGAGTTCACACCATCTAAGGGGAACGCGAATAGGTAATTTTATTCAAATACTCATATTATTACTCGCTGATCCTTTATTACTACACATAGGCTATATTTTGTTAGATGCCATTTTCATCCATTGTACAGGCGATGGCTCAGACAGAGAGGGACATTAAACGAAAAATTTACTGCGAGTCGCTCTGTACCAGAAATAATGAGATATCGATATTTGTATGTGTCATAGATCCGGATTGGATACGCCTTATTAACGAGACAATTCATGCAGGTGGCATCCACAGACATTTTAATTCAGCCGAGAAAGCGCCGTTATTTCTCCTCCCCCTCCCTCCATTAATTTATTTTTGTTGCCTACCTGTTTGTGAATGTACAACCTTTCAGAAAATTAAGGTCAATGTATTGATTTGGTAAACATGCGCGTGTCAAAAATGGTGGTTTGTGAATAGATCTGGACTGCAGAATGGAAACATGTCATTGCTATTGAAAGCCGTTTGCTCAATAAATAAATACTTTATGGATGTGCATATCATTCTACATGGGAAATGTCAGATATTGCTCGCCTCCTTGGTAGATGTTTAAAGATCAGGCATTAATTCTATTGTTTTATGTCAGTTCAGCTGAACAAACATTTAATTCTTCATCCGCCAGACAGCCAGATAAGCGTGAATGTGCCATTTTGCCAGTGAGAACAGAGACAACTGTGACAGCTTAAGATACAAGGATACAACAAGTGAGTGGCCTTGTCGAACAGCCCTTGCGGTCAATATCTAAACACTCCCTTGTGATTAAAAGTCATCAGAGAATCAACATAGAATAGGAATACTAATGGCAGCTGCCCAAAGGCAATTCAGTCTTATGTAATGAAGTCCCACATCATGCTATCAAGGGATGAGGTTTAAGTAGCCGACAAGCTGCTTCATTTAGATCAGACTACCCATGACCATGTTGAAACATTACAGTGTGCTGGACGAGTGAGCATGGGTATGTGTGTCTGATGAGACGTTGACAGGGCTTTGTATTGGGAACAGAGGAGCCTTGTGTCCTCATGATTTATTCATGTCCAGCTGCAAGATAAAAACAGAGGCAGGTAGTCACAGAGATGCCGTTGACAGACCAAGCGTGGGGCTGGTCATGGACGCACAGCTGTCGGATGCTGTGAATACAGGCGAAGGTTGTAGTTATTGTTGGCCCAATAGATTGCCCCCTACTGTTTGGTGGCCTTAAAAAGCCAATTATAAAAGGTGTAGTTCAGGGGTTTTCAGTCTTTTAGATGCCGCGGACCCCGAACTCCTCCACTCACGTACAGTACCTTTCAAAAGTTTGGAAAACATTAATTTTTTATGTTTTGAAAGGATATGCTCACCAAGGCTGCATTTATTTAATCTAAAATACAGTGAAACAATAATATTGAGAAATACTACAATTTAAAAGAACAGTTTTCTTTATATATATTTTAAAGCGTAATTTATTCCTTTGGTCAAAGCTGAATTTTCAGCATCATTACGCCAGTCTTCAGTGTCACAGACATGATCCTTCAGAAATCATTTTAATATACTGATTTGGTGTTCAAGAAACATTTCGTATAATTATTGTCAGTGTTGAAAACAATTTTTTGCTCCTGCGTGACACTGAAGACTAGAGCAAGGAGGCTAAAATTCAGCTTTGACATCACGGGAATAAATTATTTAAAAAGAAATATTGTAATAATATTTCGCATGACTGTTTTTACTGCATTTTTGATTAAATAAAGGCCCCATAAAGGCCTATTTAAAAAAAATATCTCAATTTACAGTGTAAAAAATATTAAATATTATTAGGAAAATACTCCACTATAGTACTGTACTGTTAGATGTATTATTGTATGTATTATTTAATTAATCAATGTGTTTAGTGGAATCTTATTTTTTTTAATTTTCTATACTGTTTTTGACAGTAAAATGAACATTTTTCCACACCTGTATGACTTTATTTCTTCAAGCTAAGGCAGACATCAACTTTTTCTGTGAATAATAACTGCAACGAAATCATACAATATGAAAAAGTATTGAGATTATACTATTCAGAAATTCCACTGAAGAAAGTCAAACAGGCTTGGAACGACATGATGGCGAGTAAGTATAGACAGAATGTAATCTTTCCTTTAAATTTGTATCAAAATTAGAAACGGGGCTTTCGGGGGACTGATTTTAATTATAATCTAGTAGATTTTGATTAATATTTGTATTTAATAACTTGAAGGAGTTTGCATTCCACCCCTCCACCCTTGTTTTTATGAACAAATCTGTTCAGGTCTTATACAGTGACTGATTTTTTTATCTTCTTCTCTCGCCTCTCGTCTTCTCACTTTCACATCCAAACCTCTCGACTCTGTGCTCCCTGCTGCAATCCTAGATAATTCTCTCTCAGCGGGATTGAAAGATTTCTCCGGGCGAGAGAGCAAGAGATTACACTGTCAGATTAATGTGCAGGAGTAAACCCACACTGCTCTGCAACATAATCTCATCCACACAACACACACAAACTTGCTCTCGTTCACCACACTTACCTCACTTTTTCTCCCCGACCCTTCAGAGTGATGTCACACCGTCTACCAGGGGGTGGCCGTCCCCTGCCGGAGTCACGCAGCCTCTGACGCCCATGGGGCGGACACCCCCGTCACCAAGATACTGAGTGTGCGTAGCCGAAGCCGAGCACGATGGGCAGTCTGGGAGAGGGAGTGGACCCCGGCATGGTGAGCGAAGCTCTTCTGGAGGCCCTTTGCTCTGAATGTGGACAGATTCACCGCGCCTGGGAGAACCACCTTTATAACTATCGTTTGGAAGTGGACGATGATTTGGTGTGCCACATCTGCCTTCAGCCGTTGGTTCAGCCCCTGGATACACCATGTGGCCACACCTTCTGTGCCCGCTGCCTGCGCAGCTTCCTGCAGGAACGGGACTTTTGTCCGCTTGACCGTGCGCATCTGCAGCTGCAGGTCTGCCGGCGCTCCAGCATCCTGGTGCACAAGCTGCTGGATAAGCTGTCGATCACCTGTCCGCTCACGCCCTCCTGTTCTCTCAGCATGCCACGCTGTGACCTGGAGGCACATCTCAAACACAGGTAAGATACTCACACAAATATTTCATCTCAAATGCAAAAGCTGTTGAAATCAAGGGCATGTCTAGGCTTTCATCAGTACTAAGGCACAAAAAAAGGGTTCCTATATTTTTAGATCTTGTTTTTTTTTAAATACTGCTTTGGATGTAAATCATATTTACCTGCAGTAAAGACTCTTTCAAAAGCTACAAACATTAGAATACGTTTGCAAGTATTGTTTCCTACAATGGATTGTAGGATCCCAAGACTATTTCAGTGGGAGAAACCGCTGTAAATGATTCAGTGCACGACTGAACTGTCCTATAAATCAAACTGAATCAAGAACAGTTTCAGACCTTTTTGCAAACCCATTTGACTGATTAGATCAAAAGAGTGATTCATTTGCAAATCTGGCATTGCTAGTTCTTATTCTAAACAGCATACAACTTTATCGCCGAAATATTATCAGGGAAAATGATTCCAAGGTCGGTATACAGTAATTTTCATTGACACTAATATTTTTTGGGATTTTACTGATGCTTCTGCTTCAAGCATCTGTAAAATCTAGTGATACCCCTGGCTGAAATAATCATTTTATGTATATTCTTGTATTATTTTAACAGTAGAGCCTGGTGCTTGTAATGGCAAGCTCATGTTTGATTCCCATTGAATGCAAGAATTGATAAAACGTGTGCCTTGAAGTTGTTTTTCTGTAAAAGAATATACTGATCAAAATGCAGAACACATTTTAATAAACAGCTCAACTT